TTCTTTATTATGTCATTCTGTGCATAATTGTTGCTATATTTCATGTCTCTGTAATTTAAATTCATTTATATTTCATGTTTGGGAGTAATTTTGGCGTTATTTAGCTTGCAATCGTATGAAGTTGGAATTTGATGTAAACAAGTGGATGACGTCATCGCCGCACCGCTGCTGGGTATATAAGCAGCGAGCTGAGAGCGCTCAGCAGATTACAGCTAGCTTTCGTTCGGGACAGAGCTCCGTTTCAATTTCATATTTTTATGTGAAGTTGGACTTAGTCATTTTTCAAGGAAATATTTTTGGACTTTGACAATTTTCAGTAGAAAGTTGTTGGGACTTTGAATATTTCCCGAGGCAGATAGGAGATACATAGCTGCACTTCAGTTCAGTGGATGATAACTTGGACATCTACTTGTGATGAAGGATACCTGAGAGGGAAGACTGCTACACCGTGATTCTGTAGATGATAACTTGGCCATCTACCCGTGTATTTGTGTAGAGGATACCTCAAGAGGGAATATTCAGTACCGTGTTTGGAGGCAGCATCAAGCCTATACTAGATTTCTGAGCTCTGTCAGTTCAATTTCATGAACACATGAAATTGGACTTTGCGTATTTTTGGGAATAAAATTATTGAACTTAGTCAATATTTGGAGAAACATTATTTTGGACTTTGTTTTTTTTTGGAGAATAAATATTGAACTTAGAATATTTCAATATCAGTATAACTCAACATTAACTGAACTTAGTTATTTTCAAGGGTACATATTTTGACTTGTAATATTTTTGCCTATGCTGTTGTGCGCATGCTATATTTTTAGGTAGGCTGATTACTTAATTGTGAAGGAAGTTTGTGTACTTAGCAGTTGATGCCATATAAGACGTTCGTAAACTTTGTCAATTGTGATAGTTTGACTTTGATTATTTCATATAATTAAAGTTGAATTATCCTACAACACAGTGAGGAGGATCCAGGAGATAGCCATTTACAGAGCCGATAGTTTGACTTTGATTATTTCATATAATTAAAGTTGAATTATCCTACAACATAGTGAGGAGGATCCAGGAGATAGCCATTTACAGAGCCGATAGTTTGACTTTGATTATTTCATATAATTAAAGTTGAATTATCCTACAACACAGTGAGGAGGATCCAAGAGATAGCCATTCACAGAGCCGATAGTTTGACTTTGATTATTTCATATAATTAAAGTTGAATTATCCTACAACACAGTGAGGAGGATCCAAGAGATAGCCATTTACAGAGCCGATAGTTTGACTTTGATTATTTCATATAATTAAAGTTGAATTATCCTACAACACAGTGAGGAGGATCCAAGAGATAGCCATTCACAGAGCCGATAGTTTGACTTTGATTATTTCATATAATTAAAGTTGAATTATCCTACAACACATTGAGGAGGATCCAGGAGATAGCCATTTACAGAGCCGATAGTTTGACTTTGATTATTTCATATAATTAAAGTTGAATTATCCTACAACACAGTGAGGAGGATCCAAGAGATAGCCATTCACAGAGCCGATAGTTTGACTTTGATTATTTCATATAATTAAAGTTGAATTATCCTACAACACAGTGAGGAGGATCCAAGAGATAGCCATTTACAGAGCCGATAGTTTGACTTTGATTATTTCATATAATTAAAGTTGAATTATCCTACAACACAGTGAGGAGGATCCAAGAGATAGCCATTCACAGAGCCGATAGTTTGACTTTGATTATTTCATATAATTAAAGTTGAATTATCCTACAACACAGTGAGGAGGATCCAAGAGATAGCCATTTACAGAGCCGATAGTTTGACTTTGATTATTTCATATAATTAAAGTTGAATTATCCTACAACACAGTGAGGAGGATCCAAGAGATAGCCATTCACAGAGCCGATAGTTTGACTTTGATTATTTCATATAATTAAAGTTGAATTATCCTACAACACATTGAGGAGGATCCAGGAGATAGCCATTTACAGAGCCGATAGTTTGACTTTGATTATTTCATATAATTAAAGTTGAATTATCCTACAACACAGTGAGGAGGATCCAAGAGATAGCCATTCACAGAGCCGATAGTTTGACTTTGATTATTTCATATAATTAAAGTTGAATTATCCTACAACACAGTGAGGAGGATCCAAGAGATAGCCATTTACAGAGCCGATAGTTTGACTTTGATTATTTCATATAATTAAAGTTGAATTATCCTACAACACAGTGAGGAGGATCCAAGAGATAGCCATTCACAGAGCCGATAGTTTGACTTTGATTATTTCATATAATTAAAGTTGAATTATCCTACAACACAGTGAGGAGGATCCAGGAGATAGCCATTTACAGAGGCGATAGTTTGACTTTGATTATTTCATATAATTAAAGTTGAATTATCCTACAACACAGTGAGGAGGATCCAGGAGATAGCCATTTACAGAGCCGATAGTTTGACTTTGATTATTTCATATAATTAAAGTTGAATTATCCTACAACACAGTGAGGAGGATCCAGGAGATAGCCATTTACAGAGCCGATAGTTTGACTTAGATTATTTTGCATAATCAAAGTTGAATTATCCTACAACACATTGAGGAGGATCCAGGAGATAGCCATTTACAGAGCCGATAGTTTGACTTTGATTATTTCATATAATTAAAGTTGAATTATCCTACAACACAGTGAGGAGGATCCAAGAGATAGCCATTCACAGAGCCGATAGTTTGACTTTGATTATTTCATATAATTAAAGTTGAATTATCCTACAACACAGTGAGGAGGATCCAAGAGATAGCCATTTACAGAGCCGATAGTTTGACTTTGATTATTTCATATAATTAAAGTTGAATTATCCTACAACACAGTGAGGAGGATCCAAGAGATAGCCATTTACAGAGCCGATAGTTTGACTTTGATTATTTCATATAATTAAAGTTGAATTATCCTACAACACAGTGAAGAGGATCCAAGAGATAGCCATTTACAGAGCCGATAGTTTGACTTTGATTATTTCATATAATTAAAGTTGAATTATCCTACAACACAGTGAGGAGGATCCAAGAGATAGCCATTTACAGAGCCGATAGTTTGACTTTGATTATTTCATATAATTAAAGTTGAATTATACTACAACACAGTGACGAGGATCCAGGAGATAGCCATTTACAGAGCCGATAGTTTGACTTTGATTATTTCATATAATTAAAGTTGAATTATCCTACAACACAGTGAGGAGGATCCAAGAGATAGCCATTTACAGAGCCGATAGTTTGACTTTGATTATTTCATATAATTAAAGTTGAATTATCCTACAACACAGTGAAGAGGATCCAAGAGATAGCCATTTACAGAGCCGATAGTTTGACTTTGATTATTTCATATAATTAAAGTTGAATTATCCTACAACACAGTGAGGAGGATCCAAGAGATAGCCATTTACAGAGCCGATAGTTTGACTTTGATTATTTCATATAATTAAAGTTGAATTATCCTACAACACAGTGAGGAGGATCCAAGAGATAGCCATTTACAGAGCCGATAGTTTGACTTTGATTATTTCATATAATTAAAGTTGAATTATCCTACAACACAGTGGAGGATACTACAACAACGTGAGGAGAATTAGTATTTTCATTGGAAGCAAGACACAAGACAGTTGCTGAGTTTACAGTGGATGGAACTGGATATCCCCTTCATCATCTTGGTCGTGGGTGGAATTTTATTTGTACTTTTATGTTTGATGTTAGTCATATGCTCCCAGGTGTGTATTAAGATTCAAGACGAAGAAGCGCCTGTTCCAGCAGTTCCAATACCCCCTACGCCAACCCCTGCTTTAAAATCCACACCAAGCTTCAGCATGAGTACTATGAATTTTGTGTAAAGTTGCTTCCCAAAATTAGGAGACAAGACTTTGTTACGCTCAGCCTACTATTCCAGGTTCAAGATACAATAACAATACAAGACGTACAAGTGGTACAATTTACATGAACTTTGCATATTCGGAATACAACAGTGTTATATAGTGATCATCAGTTTATATGGACTCTGGATATTATTTTATCAGTGATAATTATTATTAGCTCATGGACTTTTGAGTTGTGAGTTTTGAGAGAAATAATAACACCGTAATATTCTTACATTACATTTGAAATTGCATGTACATCTTATTTGGGCTTATAAACGCCACAATATATTGTTTTATATTATATATATAAAATTGTATATTTTGTTTATTTCTTTAGGGACAAAGCACATTTAACGTGTGCCGTGCAATCCACAAGTAAACACCGTTTACTAAACAGTGGTCTTTTTATTAGCCACACTACCACATATCCACAAAAAAGGCCAAACTGTTACAGTATTCTAAGGGGTCTTCACACATAAATCATTTGTCAACAAATTCAGTGTAATATTTGAATAGCAGATTTTGGATAAAATTGGACAATGTTATGTCCGCAATTTATCACCATTATGAAAAAACATATAGGCAAATCAATAGGTATTAAAATCTTACCTTTTTCTACGTTTAAAAGCGAGTATTTAGCAAATTATTGGGAAAATTCTTCACAGCTCCCACACAGATTATCGCGTGTTGTCTAATGATGAGGTAAATGTTCTGATTGGTTGAAAAGAGGGGTTTGGCTTTCACGACGATAATTTTAATAATTCAAATACACTTTGCAAATTTACTTTACGCGCATACATACGTCAATATATTTATATTTAATATACCTGAGGAATAGATTAGAATATCATCATATCTCAAAAAGGTTGTTAGTACGCTATATATGCCATTTAATTTGGTCTTGAAAATGAAAATAAAAATTGTAAAAATATTGTGACAGGTGTTTGAAGAGTTGATCTTGTGATAATAGTTTTCCAATTTATCTTCAAAAAATATAAAATTCTGAATTCCCCTTCCTTGTTTCAATTCTATTTTCAATATAATACTGAAGTTATTTAATTTATTGAATTTCATACGTTTACTCAATAGGAAAAATTGAAATTTCAAAATTGAGTTTGAGACTACATTTCAGCCATTTTGGGTCATTGAGTGCAACATATTTTGCAAGAGCAAAGTTTGATTTTGGGTCGAAAAGAACTGAACATATCTCTTTCAGGATGTCAGAAACAAAGGTTTACACACTTGAGGAAGTAAAGAAACATAATAACGGTAAATCATCGTGGATAATCCTGCATGACAAAGTTTACGATGTTACTAGATTCCTTGAAGAGGTAAATATGTCTTGTAAATTTATTTTTTCAGAAAATCAAATCCTTTCCAGTCTCAGTCTAAATGCTTATATTACGTGATAAAAGTCATGACTTTGTTTGAGGCTGTGAAAATGTTTGTGTGTCCAGCCTAGAAAATAAGCAATCAGATTACCACAGTGTACTTTTCAGTGGTGTGTGGGTATTTTGTGAGCGTACGCCACAAGTGAGTGAATCAAGCGTCCTTTGAGGGAAATTTGGGTGTTTCTCTCCCAAGAAAATGAGATTGCATTCGAAGCATTCTGGGGCATTTTAAAATATGAAATGTAAATTAATATAAACTAATACAATGTAAATTATTGGTCATTTTTATCATGGGCTTTCAATGCCCATGTTTTTTTCTAATATTTGATATAAAGTGTGGCATAATTCAATTTATAAAATCAACTTTCCTTTAGATTTGAGAGTACGCCATGGCATTTTATGCGTATATGACGCTACGCCATTGCTCTTATATCGACTGGGTATATCGAAAAATACTTTCATGATGCAAAACGATTGTAGATCTTGGGCGAAGGGGTAGTATGTATCCAACAGACCGAATATAATATTCGGTCTGTTATGATTGATATATTTCCTATGGAAATCGCGGTGATATTTTTTGCACATTAATTTCTCGTTTATTATAAGAATGTTCACCTTGAAAATTGGTGAATATGTTGAAGAGATGTTCATCTTAAACTAGAAGCAAAAATATTTGTATAAGGCGGGTACAAGTTGATATAAAATAATGAAATGTTCAGACTCACCGAAACTTCAGGATGTGTTCATAAGTAGATCGCGAAATCAATGTCAAGGACGTTTGAGTTCACGAGATCCAAACGAGATATGCAAATTTTGAACTTTGACAACACATGACCACTTGATTACCTCGGCCTTCTTCATGAATATTTCCGCTCTATTTACTATAAATGAAGAAAATTAATCGGGATAATGATAATAAATGACTAGATCTAATAAATTCCCGCACAAATGGAATTTAGCAATACGCTTCCGTATTGTTGCTCCCGCTCCACGTGTTATTTGTTTACAAATAGACTGACGTCACTGGCTAAATCTCATTTATCGTGAGAATTGGCATTGCCAAAATGGCTTGACCTAATCAATGGCTTCGCTACAAGAAGCGTCTGTACATTTTATGAATATCTTCAGTAAGAGGACAATATACGAAAAAATAATATTGTGAGTTCTTCATAAGGTAATCATTTTATCATTAAACAAACTTATTTGTAACATTTATACAACACCACATTTTACAATAGGTGACTTACAGTCTGAATATTTATTCAGACGAAGGATACAGTCTAGGCGAAGGGGTATAATGTATATAGTGATCAAGGGAGTTTTCTCGCATAGATTGAGATCTTACAAGATTTTTATTTTTTTCAAAATCAAACATGGTGGAAATTCTAATTTCTAACAAGTAAGTGTTGAAGTTACCCCATTTCGAAGTTACACCCCTTTGTTCTAGTGGAAATTTAATGCGTTGAACTTCAATGTATGAGGCTACTTTAAGTCATTGGGCTACTTTGACCATGTGGCTATTTTGACATTGAATTATATCTTTGATTCATGCAGTCAACCATGTTTGTTCGTTGAAAATTTGAAATCTCGAATGGGCGAGATCTAAACCAAGATGGCTGACCCCAGAAATATGAATTATTGGGATTGGTCCAAATAACCCCTCGGTCAAAGTAGCCCCACGACGAAGAAACCCTTATGTTGCCAGTTGAAGAACCGTCAACATAAATCTTTCAAATTGAAAAACTGAACTTGTGAGCCATTTATAATTGAAATGTGTGTTTAATAAGTTTGAAACAATTGTCATGCAACATTGTCATGCAGCATTGTCATGCAGCATTGTCATGCAACATTACCATCAGGTGGTGTAAAAAGGCAAGGTATATTCCATTATCTTTTTAAATACCATTTCTTGTCCTGGAAAAAAATACATGTACCTCAAATTGTCTATTTAGACAGTTCCTCAGCTGGCTTTAGACAGGTGGGGTATGTTCAGTTATACCATACATTACATTTAGTTGCTTAACATCTGACATCTCTTAGGTAAAATAAGCAATCAAAGGGACACATTAAGATAAAATAGAATGGTATTTTATAACTTAGTGAGTTTCAGCCATGTTAATTTTGGGGAAAATAACATCCTAGTAAATAGAGGCTACACGCGATAGCCAAACTACAAAACAAACCAAAATAACCAAATGTTTAAACTTCTCAAACAAAGATACATGTAAGCAGTAAGACTTGAACTCATCAAGATATGATATGTCCTATGCTCTTATTGCCCAGTTCTTGTTAAATACAGATGTTACAGGTTGTTCAGATGTTCTTTGTTGATAGTAGCAAAGACCTTCAAAATTTGTAAATAACATTTCTGCATCTCATTATGATAATCCTACTTCATTAGTGCTACTATTGCACATTTTGGTATGTAACATTGTGGCACTACACTACACTACACTACAAAGACATTCCTGTAGATCCCAGTCAGAATTTGGACATTATAACACATGTGTTGGTATTTACTACGTAAAACTATTAAGAAATAACCAGTAATGACGTGGTTCGCTATCCTAGATAAGGAAAACAGAAATATTGAAATGACAGAATTGTCATAATAGCAACCAATCTATAGTAATAGGCCTATACCCAGAGTTGAATATATATGGTTAACGTAGGAATTGATTTCACCATGGGTTTTTTCTATTGAATGCCCATGTCTATTGAATGCCCATGATTTCACCACTTGAACTATCATATAAAGAAATGTGAGCTTTTTTATTACTTTTTTTTACATGTTTCAATGCCAGCTTATTATTTTGATATTGTAAATGTATAAATATATAACTTGTATAAAGTTTATTAAGTGTACCATAAAAAATATCCTCTATTAATCATGCTTACATATAACTATGTGATGAAGGTCACATTTCAATAGATGCATAAAGTACATGAGGCCATTTAATGCTATCATATTTTTTGATGAAGAAAATTCTGAAGCTGAATATATGCATCTGGGCAAGTTTTGTCTCAATTTTTAAAAACAGTGTTCAAAAATAAGATCTGGGGAACCAGTTGCTACAGTAACCATTTAATGCACATTCTTTGACCAATGACAATGCTACTCCCTGACAGTTGCATACTGACAAACATTCTGTAAAAATGACTAACCTGTCAACAAATGACACGTTGGAGCATGAATCACCTTAGTACTAGAGAAACAAGACAGATCCAGATTTTGACCTCATGTTATGATTACTATACAAATATTGAATGATGTTGATTGCAATACCTGTATATATTTCTGAGGGTGTATTCCATGCAGCCCAAACGGCAAGAGGAATACATCCCCCAGAAATATATACAGGTATTGCACAAAACAGAATTCAATATTTGTTTTATTATTTCACTCATTTACGTGTATCAACAGGCCCGTAGCCAGGGGGGTTCGAGTGAACCCCCCCTGGCCAAAAATTCTTTCAAACCATGCAGTTTTTCATCATTCTGAGCACTTTTAAGTGATTTTGGCCATCTTTGGGCCTGATCAAAATCTGAGTAGAAAAGAAGAAAGACATATTACAGTTTAACACTATTCATTAATTAACTATATAGTGTCTCAAAAATTGAAAATTCGATAAATAATGCCATATGTTTTCAATAGCCTATACATGTGACGTCACATTCGTTGAATACCTCATTTATTTTTTTAAAAATACACCTTTCATATCAATGACTTACATGGATGGAATACCTTGTGGTATTTTAAGTCACATGGTACATGACTGACCAATCACAAACTGATTATCACTCCAGGGAAATAATATTCTATTTTTGTTTGTTTTCATTTCAGCACCCAGGTGGTGAAGAAGTCTTATTAGAACAATCAGGTATGGATTAAAATTCACATTTTCGGCACAATTGGGAAACAATTTTCAATTTCAGTCCAACACTTAAAATCCTAAATTTTAAGAACCCCATACTCAATTTGGTCTCCTAAATATGAACAATTTGACTTCGAATCTCTTAAAAGAAAATTTCACATTTAACTCTTGCCTCGAGGTTTTAAAGTAAATTATTTTCTGAATTACATGGTTTTTGGGGCCTCAGTTTGACTTGAAACCCAAGGACATTGCCAGGACCTGAAATAAGGCAGGGCTTTTGCCAGGCTTTTAGACTGCGGCGCAGCACCACACTCTATTTAGCTCCCACCACAACCTATTGGCAAATGATGATTGTTTCCACAGTCTAAACTTAACTGAATATACAACAATAGCATTTAAAAATGATAAAATATCTGAGAAATATATTTCTGTAAAGTTTTGGTGAGAGAGTTGCCCGGCCCGCCTCATGCCTGACAGTATACCTATGTAACCTTTGTATTTGTCGAAAAGAATATGTAAAGTACATGCATATTGTGAATTGTTTTATTTTGGCAGTTTGTTTAATTTGGCGATGACCAAATTGTCAATATAAATGTCTATTAGTTAGCAGTTTATAGATGTTATTGTATGGTATTTAAAGAGAATTCTGCAAAAACAGTCACTAAAAATCGTGATGACACCAAATAGAATTAATATTACTAAATTAAATCACTACACTATTTGTACAAGTATTAACTGAATTTAGACATTGCATGTTATGTGTTAGTAGATTCTGTAATAAATGTCCTACTGTTATGTGATAAGATATTAATATTCAGAGGTCAAAATATAGAAACATTTTTAGTAAATTTTTAACTAAAGCTGTATGGTACTCATATTATTTACTAGAAGATTCAGTGATCCATCATTTTAAGTTTCCTGACAACATTCCATATGTGCTTATGTTAATGATTAAAAACAGATTAATGAAATTATAATTTTTGGAGGATAAAACTTTTATCCAATCCCTAACATAAGATAAATGTTATATTCCTCTAGGTACATATGCCACAGAATCATTTGAAGATGTAGGCCATTCAACAGATGCCAGAGAACTATTGGGCGACTACCTTATAGGAGATATAGCTGAGGTATTGACATTATAAACAGTCTAGGCTCTAAGGATTTAAAACCTGCTGGTCAAAATGGCATTACGGACCAGTTGCAATGTTATTTTCCTATACCTAGTGAAAAAATCAACTGGTCCTTAACAAAAGTAGCCAGATAATGAACAGTGGACCAGACCTTAACGCCTATACTGATTATAAATACAGTAAATGATTAGAATAAGTATTGTATACAAAGCCTGTGAGGTGGAACACTTCTGTAATTTATGATAGTTGGAACTCTTTTTCAGAGTCACATGACCATTTTTCAGAGTCACATGACCATTTTTCAGAGTCACATGACCATTTTTCAGAGTCACATGACCAACAGTGACCAATACACTTGTGTGAAATGAACATCCCACATGGAAAACTTTTAGATGTTCCAAATATGTTCCACTTTCACCAGTTTTACTACAAAAACTGTACCATCAGAGATAATATGTTCGAAATGTACCAGTACATTCATATTTGTACTTCCCTGGTGGTACTTGAACAAAATAGATGAATGAAATTGTAATTTCTAGAGGATAGAAGTGATACCATTAGAAATGAATGACCTTATGTAGCATATTTTATTTTATTTTTTCAGGCTGATAAAGAAAAACCTTCAACAAAGGTAAAACATTTATTTTTTAAGATTCTTTTTTGAAAGGGAATGATTGTGATTTAAATATATATTACATTGTACTTACTTGCATCAGGATTTAATTAAATTTTCAAGATGCAAAATTTTTTTAAAAAGCTGAAGCATTGTTCACTGACAAACTTTTACAAATGCGGTACATGATCGAGCAAATCTTCAATACAAGATGTATGTTCCATGTTAAACTTGATGCAATAAAAAATTTACATGGCCTCTTGGCCCTTATTTGCCCCATTCTTTTTCAAAATTATGTATGTTTTTCTTAATAAAGCTGAAAGCTGACAATTTTATACTCAAAAATGTTACTGCTAAAAACAAGTAAAATTTTTTGATTTTACTTTTTTTGGTTTCTACTGTTATTCACAATTATTATCCTGAATAAATTGGTAGCCAAAGTAAGCAGTGGCTATTTTCTACTGGATTCTGTTATTCATACTAGTGTGAATTAGTGTATTTGTATAAGTAGAAAAAGAGTGTTGAAGAATGGGCATGTGAGTAGTCTTTTAAGGATGATACCTTTCATGAGATCAATAGAAGGTTCGGTGAATTTGTTTGCATTATTTTGAAAGCTTTTTGCAAACATCAAAATTTGTGAAACCTAGAACATTGGTATACATAGATGTATGTATATGACTTATACTATTCCTAGGCACCTTGTACATTGTACTGTTATTTGCATATGTTTCAGTTTCTAGGCCCCCAAAGTTATTGTTATTTATGTGTGACTTCTGTTTCTAGGCCCCCACAGTTTATTCTACAGATACTGAGAAAAAGTAAGTCTTTCTACCCTTGGAATCTTCATGGTGGTCAGTGTACATGCTTTTACATTGACATTTGGAGGTATTACAAAGAACTAATATATTTTGCATGGAGCTTAATTACACATTGAACAGTCAGCATCAATGAAAGAATACATGTTGTTTGGCCAATAGGTGGAGGTTTAATCAGTCTGTTTACTATATATAGAACAGAACGATCATTGCACCATCTATTTGTCCAACAAATATATGAACATTTAGTCCACTTTTGAGCAGATATATGAATATTTTCCAAAGTTCCCTTTTCTGTCTGAAGTCAGTCTATTTACTTGTTTTATAATTCAAATCTTTACATATTTGAAACATTGCACTACACCTCAAGTTCATGCTGATACGCTCTCATGTCATGATAGTATATGTAAAAGCGTGACACTTGTACCAATTTCACCATGATATTCCATAGGGTTGCTGCTCTGCATGACTGACACCGCCTTGGGGTGGTGACACCACTTATGGGTGTCATATACCTGCGCTAGTTATATAACCTTGCCTGCATTCCCCGAGATGGCGTCAGAAGAGTTTCTTTTCTTAAACATCCCAAGCACAAGGTCATTGTTTAATTTTATGGTATTTAAGCTAATAATGTTGCCCCTCTTCATTTTATTTTTTTATTTCTTGAACACAATCTATCACTGGGGAACAAGACTCCAATATATCTTGTTTTTGGTACAAATCTGTCAAATTAAATTGGAAGATTTGCCAAGTTGAATAGCATCAGATTGAGTTATAGAGACAAGAAATGATGTTTTTGACAGTTACTTATTACCATTGGAAAGCACAAAACAATACAGCATCTTTTGCTTGGGATGATTTGCATTTTTGCATCAAGGCCAAATACAGTAAAACCTTCTTATGTGACCACTGGAAGTAAATATCTCATATTTAATCTCTTCCATTCAAAAGTGTTCATGAAAATCTGTCAGACTTTGCCCCATGACACCTACCAATGGAAAGGATTATTTCAATGGAACCTTACTTGAATTCACATGGCATGGGACTTCATGGAGTCTCAAAGGCAAATGAAATATGGTATTATTATGCAACTTAATAAGACCATGTAGAACTCCATACTCCTTCACCTCATTGGTGTATTGCTTTAAGCAGGTTTTACTGTATTTTGCAATCTTTTGGCCTTATATGTCTGTATAGAATATGATGTTAAAGTCTTGAATCCTATATACTTCTAGGATAAGAAGAAGAAGGGGGGTTGCATTTTGAGTTAGTACACGCATGTATATCCAATACACACATAGTGATTTATTTAAAAGGTATAGACTATAGGCATGTACATGTACCCTACTAGGCCATTGAACATTGGTATTAAATGCACTCAGTGATACATTTTGATATAGTCTTGTTGAAAGAAGTCTCCGGACCCCCTCCCACCTTTATCTAACTGCCTAATGGAGGTGAGCTACGCAGGAGTCAAAAAGGCTTAAAACAAGACCATATAAGGCTATATACTTTTGTCTCTGTAGCAACATGGTAGCAAGCCCAGATTTTTCACAAGTTTTCTTTCTCTAAGAGCTATAAGGGAGCCTGCAAACTTTCCCTGATATCATCTTTTATGATTTGGACAGAGAACAGAGAACTCTGTCACATTTGCCAGATCGATTCAATTTCCGGTCACATTTGCCAGATCGATTCAATTTCCGGTCACATTTGCCAGATTGATTCAATTTCCGGCTTTTAGAATTATAGAAATGGTTGAAGAGTTAAAACTGATTTTCAATGGCCTTGAAATTATTTAAGTTGGTTATTTATGATTTTTATGTTCAGATTATTTTTAATTTGGAGTACAGCGATAATCTCTACAAAATATTTTATCACATTAAATTGTTTTGGTAATATATGCTCCCACATTTAAAATATTTCCAGTTGCGCTTAATTTGGAGTACAGCGATAATCTCTACAAAATATTTTATCACATTAAATTGTTTTGGTAATATATGCTCCCACATTTAAAATATTTCCAGTTGCGCTTGAATACATTTCATTTAACAAACTAATATTCATTTGAATTTTGTTTTATTTGTGTAAAACATTTTTTTTAATTTTTTTTATTCAATTTATAACTTTTAACATATGTACAAATACATGAATAATACAGTTCAATTATAAAACAAATTGATCCAAAAATAGTACGAAATGCCTAGCAAAGAATGAAACATGATTACAATTTGAATGTTCATATACATTAGCGAAAAATACAATGTTGCAAGCTATTTTTGACTTGAAGTTCAGATTTATAAAGAGATCAGCCTTTTCCGAGAAAGCTATTATTTGTGTAAAACATGGCTTAAAGCCTCACCTGTTATATTTGCTTTTTCATATCGCAAGCATGCTATTTTTATATGTTGTTTAGTTAATACTGCATTATTGGGAGTCCTAACATATTTTGCGTTTTTTATTTATTTAATTTATTTCAAGTTCTTGTACACGCAAGTGTTGAAAATGACATAGTTATTTCAATTTTTAAACTATTTGTTTTTCAGTTCATGGTCCAGTTGGCTTATTCCACTAGCAATCGCCATAGCAGCAGCACTAGTATACCGTTATGTATCAGCGCCAGTTGCCACTTAGATCAAGCAATCACAATACAGGAGACAATTCCAGAAATTAAATGTGGACCGTGAAATATTGAAAAGTGTTTTCATTTGAGAAAGAATTAAAGATGGATTAGAATTAAAGACGGATTAAAGAACCTTTGGTCAGATTGAAGAATTGGGCTTCAAGTGAAAATGAATAAATAATGATAATATATAAATATGATAATACTAATATTTGATAATATATTAATGTGATAATGCAAATATATGATGATATATTAATGTGATAATGCTAATATATGATGATATATTAATGTGATAATTCTAATATATGATGATATATTAATGTGATAATGCTAATATATGACAATATATTTAAGAAATATAGACCAAAGAGCAGGGTTTCTAGTTTCGAATAACACCCAGCTGGTCTCGGCACAAACGTTTTCTGTACCCCGAACGACCGAAGGGAGTGAGGGGTTCGAAAGCTTTGTGCCGAGACCAGCGGCGTGTTATTCGAAACTAGTAACCCTGCTCTGAGGTCTATATTACGATTCGAACATGAAAATTCACCAAATTGTTTCGAATAATTCATCATGATCCGCCATTACTACGACCCACCGTTATGACGTCACACATTACACGTATTAACTGGGTTATTATACTCGAATATAACCCAGCTGAAGCATTGACTTTGATTACAGTTTATAGAAGGCGTGAATACAGTCATGTTCGAATATTCAATAACGATTAGTAAGGAGCTATCTATAATTGGACAAATGTTTATTTTAAGTTAAATGAAAAATAAAATAATTTATTTCCTCATTCTGTTAACAACATAAATAAGTACATACATGTATAGGCCTAATTATACAAATGTAATTATTCATGGGTCACCCTGTAATCTAGCACATTAGCTTTTGTAATAAATTGAAATAAAAGTAATAAAGTCATTCAACAATTATTGTAGACTGCTTCTAGACATCTAGGAGTTGTCTTAGGTGTTATGTCTGAGATTACGAAATGTTCAGGGTATAGAGAGAATGAGTGGGATAGGGTCATGTGATCAAGAGTTTCGTCTTCCCAGTGTATGATGGGATGTCTTGTCATATCTTAAAAATAGATGTACAGTAATACCTGTCTATAATGAACAACTTGGACCATGTAAACAGTCCAAAATACAAAAACTTAATTCAGATGTTGGGACCATAAAACTTTGAATATGATAGATTTTTCCAGAGAGTCCCAGAATTCATGAGAATTTTTTGAAGGCAGGTTTTACTATTGATAAAATATCTTTCAAATTATGATTAGTTCATAAAATTAGCTTTGCTCCTCTCTCCTCGTACAATTTGGAAGAAATTTAGCATTCTGTCTTGCTCAGGTAGTTTTTGTATGATTATTTCCTTGCATGTTTACCTTACTGTTAATCTGCACCTCTGAAACCATGTAGTAACTAATTAAAGAAATAACATGAAAATATTTGAATATTTAAT